GGGCTACTCAAATATTTTACGTTTTTGATACTAAATTAACTTCTGAAGTATAATTTTTTATTGTTTTTATATTTTTCAATATATTTATTTTGTTCGTATAAAATAAAAAAATAATTTTTAACGATACAATAGTCTTCGTTAGGCTAACATCGACGAAAATTGAACGCGAAGCGACACGCAACGGAGAAAAATGTCAAGATGGGATAAATTAATATATTTTTTCGTACATAATTGGTTATCCGAAACATCGATCTTCCGAACAACCCCAGTCCCCAATTGATTCGGATAATCGATGCTCTACTGTAATAACTAAAATAATCAAATTTTCAATCAATTATATACAATCTACGTGATTCTTTTCATTCTTTAATTCATAAATTAAAGAGTTTACAATAATAATAATTTTTCAAAGCGATATTTCATTAAGTGTCTTATTTTATAAATTTAGATTTTCTCGACTTTACTTGTGTTCTAAACACTAATTATATTTGTAATCATCGCATCCAGTTACAAACTACATTTGATCTTCCTGTAATGATAGATTAGCTCTTCCTGCTCAATTACGATTACTATTCATAGTATTCGTCTGCTTTAATCATGTCTCTTCGCGTGTTTTACACGCCTACTTTTCTTAATTTTAATAATAATGATCTCTTAATGAAGAATCATTCAAGTCTTTCTACAACTTACAACGTCATCACTATGGATTGCATATTTGTTACTTTCAAAATTTAGTTATTATTTCATCAAACATTTTAAATTGTTTTCAACATAATACGAGGTATGTTATAACTAATGTAAATATTAATAATATATAACGGACTGAAATTAACTTCATATAATATGGAATGTATTCATGGTCCGTCTTGAACTTTCTCAGTAGGCATCAGGTAAATTAGTTTTAATTCTCAGCCGTGTGGTTATATCATCCAAAATAAAACTTTTAATTAAAAACAATTCTCATTCGCGTTTTAATTAATTATACAAATTTATTCCCGATAACGTTTCTTATATTCACATTTTAATACTGATTACTGCGATATTCTAAAATATTTTTAAATATAATAATGTTCACGAAAAAAAAATGTAAAAAAGTAAAAATTAAATTGATATTAAAAACTTTTTATCTTAAATTAATGTACCTAAATAAATGTTACTTTTGTAATATTTGTTCGCTAAAATAAGTCTACTTTTCCATTCAGTTCCACCTAAAAATATTACTATAAATGGACTTCCTGATGGGGAGGAAGTAATGATCCGAGAATCTCAGAAACTAGTTTTAACATGTAACACTCGAGGAAGTAAGCCTCCTGTGGAAATGAAATGGTATAGAAGAACTATAGAACTGGTACCAGGTATACTTTTTGTATATATTACATATATATTTCAGTAAAAATAACAACTTATTATTCAGAAGGATATGTAATTATATTCAAAATATAAATATATTTAACTTATATTCGATTTATTGGTATATAAATAACAATATAGTTAGTTATTAATGTAACACTATAATTAGTGAATAATTTTACGGTTAATAAATTTCGTAGATATTAATCATCGTCATCACAAAAATACAATAAAATTTGTATTTGTTTATACAAGGAACAATCATTTAAATGCATCCATAAATAAATTTTATAATCTTAATTGCAGTAAGAGGAATCAAGAACTCAGTTAATGTTTTTAATCTTAAAATCTCTCTGTTATCTGACTTTTAGGATTCCATTACATTAATTTTTGAAAGATGATGAATAGCAAATTTATTTTTGTATATAAGTTTTATGAAAATATTTTATGTTACAATACAGAACAATTAAGTAAGTGGTACCAGATATGCCGTCCTCAGAATAGAGAAACTGTAGGCCTACATATATATACACTAGAGCATCGATTATCCGACCCCCGATTAACCGTCACATCGGTTAACCGGCCGTTCTAGTTGGAAAATTTCAAATGTCCGCTAATGATGTGGCGCTGCAATATTTGGCTATGTCTTGGCTACTTTAATATTATTTTTGTTAAATTTTTGCGTGTTTTAGCTGGCAACACTGACTCGACCATTGAAGGGAGGCCAGTATTAAAACGAGACTTAATTTTCTAATTATGAATGTTTGTTTGTTTTGTGAGCAATAAAATAATTTAAAAATAATTTTTAACGATACAATAGCGACGATTATTATTTTTAAAAAATTTGTTAGGCTTAACATAGATGAAAATTCAACGCAAAGTTGGTTAATAGCGATATACTCTTATACTAATTACATACTACTAATATACTATACTAATAATGTATTTTTTTCATTTTTTTCGGTTATCCGATTTTTTCAGTTATCCGACCAACCTGAGTCCCCAATTGAGTCGGATAATCGATGCTCTACTGTACACATATACAGTAGAAACTGGATTATTCAAAACTCCGGGTTATCCGATATGATTTTCAGAAAAAGTATAATGTTATATACATCATTGAGTATAATACGTAGAGGATAAACTCTTCATAGAATTGGAAATGGTAATCTTTCCATTGTCGCATCGTGAAAGTACAGTAAGCGTCAAAATCCTCCCAATGTTCGTACGTACTAAAGAAAAATAGCAAAAACTATTCGATTTGCAAAATTAAAAAGAAAAGAAAATAAATCAGCTGTGAGATTATTACAATATTAACATAACAGCTAAAAATTAAAATAATTTTCATATCTTTTAAATATCTACGGTGTATAAATTCTGCTTGTTGCATTGAGAGGATTTTGACGCGTAAATTAATTTGTTATAACATCAACGTTAAACAATATAATTTCGTGCATATTAACGAGACATTAGCGTGAAAATATGAAAATGAGCGGCTGCTTGATATGCGCCATTATGAAGAAGCTTTCCGCAATGGCGTAGCGTGGGTGTCAGCCGCCCAGGGCGGAGGAAAATTTCGTCCCCCTTATTTAAGTACAGTATCTCAATTTAAAAGACTAAAATTCAGTTTTGTCACAGAAGAAGAAATGAAAAATTCCGTGCTACTGCAGCGACCTGTTTAAAATAGCTCTATTGGATATTGGTGGTATAAATGAATACGAATGAATCGTACAAGCAAAAAAAAAAGGGTCAACATGTTGCTCATGATATCGTCGGATGAAATTACTAGTTTATCCGGACGGTGAGCCGATTCCCGGACTGTCCGGACGATAGCACTATCGTAGGCGGGAGGCAAATATCACTTAGAATGGTTCAAATTTTTTCAAGATATTATTATTATTTATTGTGAAATTTTGCTGCCCCCTAAAAGGTAATTTTTCCGCCCCCNGGACGATAGCACTATCGTAGGCGGGAGGCAAATATCACTTAGAATGGTTCAAATTTTTACAAGATATTATTATTATTTATTGTGAAATTTTGCTGCCCCCTAAAAGGTAATTTTGCCGCCCCACTACACTACGCCACTGGCTTTCCGAGAGAAGAAAATCTGTATTTTGAACCTTCTGAGGTAAAGTTTTATTGATGAGAAAACAGCATTAAAGTTGATGTTGGGAATTTGAGTATATCCAGAATAAAAAATAGCGAACTGTCATATCATGCAAATTTAAGAGCTGGCAGGAAGAAAACATTGAGTGCCAAAACAGAAAGACAAGAGTTAAGCCCAAGAAGCCTAAACTTACCAAATTACATAAACAGGAACGTCTTAATTTTGCCAAATATTATAAAGACTGGACCTCCGAAGATTGGAAGAGCATGGTCAGATGAATCCAAAATTGATAGAGTTGGTTCAGATGGACGAAAATAGGTATGGACTATATCGATGAAATCTAGAACTGAATGAGAAATACAAACAACATTGAAATTTGGTTGTGATAGTCTTATAGTCTGGAAGTGTATTACCTATTTTTGGCCTAAAATGTTATGTTTTATACGTAATGGAATGAATAGCGTTATTTACACTGAGATACTTGACAATTGTTTGTTACAGTCTGTTGATTATTTTCACATTGGTAGGAGCCCTTTCATTTATGAGATAGTGACCCAAAACATACATCCAGGAGGGCAATTCTTTGTATGTTACTATTATTAATAAAATCATTATGTTGTTCAGATGATATATATTATAATTATATAAGTAAACATATAAGTATGCAAATAAATATAATGTTTTTTTGTACTAAATGTGCTTTGGAACATTTTCCAGTTCATTAAAATAGTCTCCTGCGTTCATTGAGAGGATTTTCACGCTTACTGTAAGTCATATACATTCCATTACGTTATATTTTGAGTAAAATTAATTTACTTTTAAATATAATGATTGCATTACAGTATTTATAGTTCATAAAACTTTAAATGCACCCAAAACGAAAACAAACGCGTTTCTGGATTATCTTCCTACCTACTTCCATCGAGTTTCCACTGCTTATAAATATTTATGTATAAGGTGTTTCCTAAATAGTAATCCAGGCTAATGGCCCAGAAAGAACCGTCAAATTCATGTAAACGATGTTTATTTTCATATATTATCAAGAATGTGCTATTTATTTGTATATCAATCAATTTCCCTTAACTCAAAAAATAGAAGAAACACCTCTGTTCGTATTGCAGATAGAACAACTGAATATTTTAAATTCTGACATTGTAAAGAAGGTTGAAATTAGTATATTTCACATTTTGTTTTAATTTAAAAAGGATAAAGAAGGCGTGTCACGTTCTCGCGAAAACTTGAAGGCTTGTGTACGTTCGGTTTTCTTGCAGTGCTGATCTGCTTTGTGTTTGCTTCTCAAGCTTTAAATTAGTTTGTGATAAAAACAACTGTTAGTGAAGAATTCATTTCGGTTTCATTAAAGATTTGTCAGTACAAAAAGCAGACTACATTTTTGAAACAGCATTTTACTACACAGAGGAGGTGAAACAAAGGAAAACATATATAAAAAAATTTCCAGATCACAAATATACATCTAAAGAAAAAGTCACTGTTTCCTGGTGCAGAATGTTATCACACTCTGCATCAAAATATGTAAACATTTCCATTTAGCAATATCTCAAGGAAATCGCTCAAACATATCTCTACTAACAGCAAGACGTATATTCGTTCAAATTTTGTGCCATAACGACAGAAATTAAAAGTATGGAGTTATTGTTTGAGAGGACTCCATAATTTGCCTTTTAAGATCTGCAGCATCCAGCATCCAATAATACATTTGCACCACTGGTCAACACGTATCACACCGTGCTCTCGAGGAACACAACATTATATCGTTTTTCCTAAACGTGTAATATGGAATTTGAAACAATAATCTCATTGGTCCTATTTTTCTTTGAGAAACTATTACTGGAGGAAGATATCTGCATTTCTTGCAAACTGTAATCAATGGATTGCTGAACGACCTCACTCTATGCTAACGCCAGCATATTTGTCTTCGTCATGCTGTTAGAGAAATTCAACAAAAGTTAAAGAGACTTTTGGAGAACAGTGGATTGACCCACACGGACCACTGCAACGGTCTCCAAGATCCTAGATCTTACTTCTAGGGATCTTTTCTGTGGAGATATTTAAAATATCGTAATCTGCTTTTTCTTACAAGATTTAAATTACTTATTTTGCACTGTAATATTCTAATCAAAGTTTTTTCATTTACTACAATGTATTGATCTATATATTATTTAGTCTTTAAGATTAGTAAAATGTATAGATCACTAAAATAAAAATAGATTAAATATATATACATTATTTAAATATTTGTTTATATATATTATTACAAATACATTAAATGTAATACTTTATTTAATAAAGAACGTCACACTTTGAAGAAAGTGTTCTATCGCTATGAAACTTAACAGACGTAATAGAATACAACATAAAAAAATTATTAATTTTCATTGCAAAATGACTTTTTTAATTAGAGCACAGTGACAATGTAACAGTCACATGTTAGTACGGAATAAAAATCTCTCGATGATGATACAAGCCGATATACGTCTTTGCGTAAAGTCAGACAACAGTCTAATGTTACTGGTGACAAGTTATGCCGGATGTTCTATAATTATTGGGTTAGTTCGCTCAAATTCTATAATGGTTACATTTGTCTTTCTAGCGTATGCTCGATTGACGAGAGGTCTTTTATGGTAGACGTCTCAGACGATAGGAATGAAGTCCCGCCTCTTTTAGGCGATGTCGAATGGTTCCACTTGATATTACAAAAAATGTATTAAGATGTATTTTTTTATTGAGGACAACAGGTACCATGTTGATATTGTAAAAGCTGAGCTCGATCCATTCGAGTACTTTTCATTCTGGACGTCCAGGTTCTTTGTGTTGGCTATATATTCTTTCTGTTTTCTTTCTGTATATGCTTTCTGCCGCTTCGCTTCCACCAAAATG